CATCCATGATGGGGGAAAAAAACCAAGGGGCTCCTTTCCTACCAGCTGCTACACCCCTTGGCCGAGAAGAGGAGACTGCAATCACTAGCAGTGCTGAACATACGAGATTTGTATTTTCTTATCTACCTGAAAACATCTATATGCTCCCCACAGTTCTTCACTAAGTAATCTGTTTACATTAACACTGCAACTAACGTTTTGAAAAGGACTAGTAAGTGCCTGAAATCATCAAGGATACGAGAACTTTTGAGGGCAAAGAACATTTCAACCTACGTTCTGCAAACAGAAAACAGTTGCTTAAAAAGAAAAAAAGGTTGACGGAATTTAAGCACATTTTGACAGAAAAAAGTTGGTCACGCTTATCTCCTTATGTATTTCCTTTTCTTTTCCTGTATTTAGCTATTATGCCTTGGCATACAGGCAGATCTACCTCGCAGGGGTGGGAGTCTCCTGTCTTGTGCGTGCGTGAGTACCTAACAGGGCCAGAGCCCTCAGGAGGCCTTGGTGGGGCCACGGCACACCAAACATGAAGTCTGGATGTTGTCGTCTGCCGCAACGAATGGCAAACCCCTCGAGGAACATCCTCTTCCCCCCTCTTTTTTCATCTGCCCCTTCCATGCAACGATTCTCCCAGAAAACTCTGCGTGCCCAGAAGAGGGGGAAGGAGCTGAGAGAGCCGAGAAAGTCTTTGCTTAGAGACTTTTTGCATCATCTGAACCTACGTGCTGTGAAAACGAGCACTGCTGAAAATCCCTCGGAAGGATTTTAGGCAGGAAACCACCCTCCTTATGCCGACAAATGTCACTTTTGCTACAGGAGGGGGCTCGTTATGCAACTTGACCCCAAGTGAAAGGTGCAGACAAAAAAAAAAAAATATTAATAATTAGTACCACCATCGCTTTCCCACTCCACTTCACCAAGAGATGGGATTACTCGAGCCTCCCCCTCACGCACACCCTGTTCAAATGCATCATTACATCTGACTACCTGAACAATGCAAACTGCCATCCTCAGCAGGGAGAAACACTCTCCCGTGGTATCGCCGAGGGTCAGCATGTTAATGATAACAATAGTCTGCTGAGCTACCAGGCTGGCCTGTAAACAGGAATCTTAATCAAAGCCACAAACCCGTTACAGCAGAAAACAGAGAGCATTTACTTCCAGTAGTCATTTTATCCTGCAGCTTGACAAAGCAAATGCATTTTAGTTCTGTAAATCAAATGAAGGAAAGCAGAGGAAGGTAACTGCAAGTGTTTGATAATGATAACAATAGTCTGCTGAGCTACCAGGCTGGCCTGTAAACAGGAATCTTAATCAAAGCCACAAACCCGTTACAGCAGAAAACAGAGAGCATTTACTTCCAGTAGTCATTTTATCCTGCAGCTTGACAAAGCAAATGCATTTTAGTTCTGTAAATCAAATGAAGGAAAGCAGAGGAAGGTAACTGCAAGTGTTTGAT